GCTGTGGAGGAAAGATCAACTCTGTGTCTGGCTTGTACTCGATGAAGCCAGGGGGTGTGAATCGCTTGATCGGTTGGCCGTCGTCAATGTTCTTGCCGCAACCTCCGCCATTCGCACCATCCTTGTCCATACAGCATCCTCCACCACCATTGGCCTTTGCTTTCGCGCAGCCTGACTTCACGCTGAAGCTCTGCGCCGCGTCTAATATCGGCCTGTATCCTGTACACCGACAGAGGTTACCGTCAAAGGCTTCCTCAACTTCGAGCTCGCTAGGTCCAACGTTGTTGCGGAGGAGAGCGTACAACGACATGACGATGCCCGGTGTGCAGAATCCGCATTGACTGCCATTGCCCTTTGCTATCCTCTCCTGTGCAGGATGTGGCCGCTTTACGTTGCCAATCCCTTCCACTGTTATGACGTGTTTCCCGTCTACGCTGACGAGGGGTGCGAGGCATGCGTTTACGGAGGCGTGGTATATCTTCTTCGTTGTGGGATTGAACTGCGATACAACCTAGAACACTGTCAGTTTTCGCCCTCAATATCTTGACCAATGTCTCCGATAGTCCCAGAACAGAAGTCCATCATATTTTAGTTCTGGATTCAGAGTCATCCACAACAACCACGAGAGAAAGTAAAGAGGTAAACATACCACAGTACAAGCACCACACCCACCCTCCGCACAACCCAACTTCGTCCCCGTCAACCCAATCCCCCTCAAATACTCCAACAGCGTAACCTCAGGATCCGCGCTATCCAACACCACCTTGGTGCCATTCAGATAGAATCGGAGGGTATCATCGTAATCGGCCGTGACTTCGTTCAGCGACTTGGTCGCATCGCTCGACACGGCTGGTTGTGGGGATATGAGACCAGGCGCCATGTTTGCCACCCGCGGTGTTGTCGGTAATCAAAAAAGAAAGAGAGATGTAGAAGAGACAGACACAGGCGAGAGGAATGGGAAAAGAGAGAGGAAGGCAAGAATGTCACAGTAGGTATCACAAGCTTGACCCTCTAGCTGTTCAGGGTCCTGTCCGTCGGGCTTGTGGGGAATAAGCAAACTAGATATGACAAGCGTGTGTACCGCGGCGGCAAGAGGACCAGCAGCCGCGTATAGCAGTCATTACATGAGTTAGTTGAGTTAGTTAGTGACTTGAACGAATCAGCGTTGACGTGTTTGTCCCTTATCTTCGTACGCGGTCTAGGTTGCATAGCTTGCAGAGGCTCCGCGTGCAGGAGCTCGCCGATGGCCGTAGTTCGCGTTCTTGCCCCTCCATAGCTCCATAGCCCCACCCCACGCCGCACGTGAGCTGTCAGGTCGCTTGTCGCCTAGCATGGCGAGGTCCGCTTCTTCTCACCAGTAACTCTAGTTGTGTACATCAGGGGTTTGTGTATTTGGTAACGGCGGTTTCCCAGGCTGTTCGTCTGAAGTCGCCCTCTCTATGGCGAGGTCCGCTGTCGTCGGAAGGGAAGGAGTGTGCCGATGGCTATGCTATGCATTGCTCGTATTCCACGAAGTTACATCAAGGTGAAGCTTTCAAAGCCAGTTTTTGAACACACGCTTTGCAATTGGATATATCTACAAGTTTCAACTCTCTTAAAAGAAGTCCTGTCTAGCGTATACACACACACACGAGAAATGCGCCAATAGTTCCTTATTTTCCACATTAAGAAACCATGATGCTGTTCTTCTTTCCTGCTAATCCTCCAATAACCCCTAACCCCCAACCACCAACCCCCATGTCCCTTAAACATACCCTCTCACTCTCCCCACCTCACCAACGCCCACCCACACTTCTACTGATCAAAGACGTCCATAAACCTAGTACGGAATACCATCATATTCACCGTAACCGAGCGCCAAATTCATGTTCTGCAAGCACTGAGTCGCAGCGCCCTTGAGTAGGTTATCAATTGTAGCGTTGACGACGACGCGCTTGCCTGAGCTATGGACGGCGAAACCACCGATCTCGACGCCGTGCTTGCCAGAGATGTTCTTGACGAGCGGGGATTCGCCGACAATCTTGACGAGCTTCTCGCCGGCATAGCGGTCCTGGTAGAGGTTGCGGATGTCGCGGGATGTCATTGTGCGGTTGAGGGGGATGGAGATAGTGTGCTGGAGTGGTGTTGTTAGTAACGTGGTGAAGACTGGGTTAGGTGGGAGGGAAGAGGAGACTTACGTGAATACCCTGGAACCAGACTGCGACGTGGGGGATGAATGCAACCTCAGTGCCTAGCTGCCGTGAGATTTCCTTCTCGTGAATGTGGTCTGTCAAGCTGTAGGGGATGAGGTTGTTTTCGAGGTTCTTGACATCGTTCTTGGGGCTGGGCTTGGTGCCGGCTCCGGAGTAGCCTGAGACACCGAAGACGGTTGGCTGGCCGCCGATGAACTCAAGCAGAGGCGCAATGCCGAGTTGAGCAGCAGTGGCGTAGCAACCAGGGTTGGCGATGCGTGTAGCGTCGGAGATCTTGGCGCGATCAACGGTCTCTGGAAGTCCATATGTCCAGCTCTCGTCGAAACGGTAGTCGGCACTCAGATCGACGATCAGAGTGTCCTTGCCGCTCTCGTTGATGGCATCAACGAAGGGCTTGCACACGCCGTTGGGGAGCGCCATGACCCAGCAGTCGACCTCGCCGTTCTCGGCCATCTTCTTCACATCTTCGGCTGACAGGTTCTCGTAGGTGATCTGTCGCTTGGTGTAACCTTCAAGCTTCTTGCCGTTAAGTTCACGTGATGATACATGACGCAGGTCCATGTTGGGGTGCTTGTTAAGCAGCTCGATAAGAGCTTGCCCTGTGTAGCCTCGCGCACCAATCAGTGCAACCTTGGCAGGGTAGTCCCTGTGCTTGTGCTTGATTCCGTATGGTGGGTTGGGGTTAGTCGTATCCATTGAGCGTGATGCGGTGGTAGCGAAGCCTCGCGCCGACGCAGGAAGGGTCCTGTTCTGTCTAAGTTGAGGCCTTGAAGATTGGCCAGCAATGGTCGCGTAGCCCCGCGTCTGCTGGCCCTGCTTCAAACTGGCAACAAAGTCGGCCGCCCGTCGGAACTGAGCATCTAAGCTGTCCTTGAGCATGCTGCGGCCCTGCTTCTGGTAGTTCTCGAGGAGCGAGAAGATCTCGGAAGACTCAGCCGCGCCCCACCAGCAGAAGACTTCCTTCTCGCGGCGGAGGAAGCCATCCGTCTTCTCCAGGTGCCATTTGACGTAGTTTTGCGACTGGTCGTCTACAATCCAGTACATCTTGGGGTACTTTTGCTTCATGCGCTGGAAGACCAAGTCGTTCAGGTTATTCAAGAAGGCGTCTTTGGTCATGCTGAAGTGCGAAAGCTGCGCGAACTCACCGTCGGCAGTCGGTGGGTAAACGACGGCAACGACGCCCATGGAATCATCATGGAAGACCTCAAATGGTCGCGTCTTGAGGTTCTGAATATATCTGTTGACAGCATCGGCAGCGTCGGCGGCTTTGCTCTTGGTGATAGCCTCTTGCAGAGCAGGGACATCCAAATCCTCGAACTTGCTGGTCTCCTTGACACTACCGCCGTTGCGGATAAGTGTGCCGCTTCCGGTATGGGTGAACAACTCCTTTCCAAGGTTCGAGGGGTGTGTGATGGCTACACTCGACGTGCGTGGGAGACCGTCCAGGAGCTTCTTTGCCTCTACAATCTTAAGCTTCGTGCCGTATCTAACCCACGATTGCTTCATGTAGGTATCGTACTCGCCCTCGAGGTTGATGTGGGGGATGAGCTTGGACTCGGCGTTGAACAGTCCACCCTTTTCAGAGAGGTAGATGACCTTGAGGGGCTGGAACTCGCGCGCCAGAGCTGCGGCAGCTACATCGGCGTTGATGTTGAGGATCTGGCCGTCGAGCGTCTCGCCCATGGAGCACAGGATGGGCAGTTCCTTGTTCTCCAGAGCATCCATGATCTGCCTCTTGTTGACGGTGGTGATGTTTCCGACGTACTTCCACTTTTCCTTGTCCAGGTAGTCGGCTTGCAGAGCACCCGCGGTGATGGGCCGCGCGGGCACGCCCCAATCCCTCTTCAGGGTCATGACCAGGTCCATGTTGGCCTCCAAGAACAGCTTGCGCGCAATGCCCAGCGTCTTCTTGTCCGTCACGCGTATACCGTCAATGAAGTCGGGCTCGACACCGGAGTCGAGCAGCAGCTGGTTCATCTGCGGGCCGGCGCCATGGACGATGATGGGGTACAGGCCGATAGCATGTAGCTGCTGAAGGGCGAAGCATAGCTCCTCGAGGTGGTCGGTGAGAATAGCCCCTCCGACCTTGACGACAGCGAACTGGTGCGGCGAGACGGAGCGGAACTGGCCGAGGTACTGGTCGACTTCGCGGCGGGAGCTGGAGCTGGCCAGCAGGTTGAGGAAGGCGGCGTAGATGGACGAGTTCCTGCCATCCTTGGAGGTTGTGTACAGGCGGCTCGGGGTGGTGCTAGCTACGAGGGCTCGCGGGAGGGCTCGCGGCGTCTGGCTCGCGAGGACGCGGGAGGAGGATCGGGCAGCCACACGGCCGGCTCGTACAAAGCTCTGCATGGTGAGTGTCGCTCCCAAGAAGCAGTCGCTGCTCGGGCCCTGGGCGACTTAATCCAACGCGAATTGCTACGGTGACTAGACTGTGGAGCCGTGAGGGACCTGCGCGGGTCTCGAGATATGACGCGGAAGCAACAAAATTCGCTGCGCCGTTATCGCTGCTTCCCCAGACGACAGGGAACTTTCCTAGCGCTGCCGGAGATAGCTACTTAGGTTTGCACGCATGGAGAATGGCAGCCGCAGATCAGACTTTTCAGCCCTCACTCCTGCATGCCTGCGCGCTTTCGAGCTGCTGTTGAGGCAAATTTTCTCGACAAGACAAAAGGCCCTTTCCCAGGTTGCCCATCCTGTGCGGCCCAACCCACAGCACTGTGGACACTACTAACTTGTGAGGACCTAGCACTAGGTTCACGGGAGAGATTAGGCGCCCTAATGCAAAGGTAAACTAGAAGCGTTTATCTCTTACTTGAATCCATTGTATTATACGAGATGCCAAAGATTGTGGTAGTGACACTGAGAAGCTGAAAGCCTAGTCCCAAACGGGCAAGGTCGCGTCGCGTCCAAATGTCAACTACTCCAAGTTACACTATAGTCCTGAATTACAACCAACTTGCTCAGGTATCTCCAATCTCCAACCTCCAATTGAGCTTGAGCACCCCATTCAATGCATAGACCTCTCACTCCAGGTTCAGAAACCGACACCGCTACTTGAAGAGTGACCACAGCATGTCATCCAGATACATCCCCAAAACACAACCACTTCGGTGGCCAGCTTCCACAGGTACCTGCCTACCGTCTAGCTCATGGTTACCCATCGCTCTAGGAACATCTTCTGGACCCATATATGTTGCTTGGTTAGACTCCTACATGCTATGGGTACTATGTTTCGCCTCGGTCTCTCCTATCGGCAGGTCATGGGATAGATCGACTGGGCTTCTGCGTCGCTTACGCAAGATCCAACCAAGCCAGAAGGCGAAAGCGAAAAGTGCTGCTGCTCCTAGAACTGCACCCACTCCTATGCCTGCTTTGGCGCATGTGGACAGACCGCTTGTGGAAGGCGAGGCTGTGTTTGTTCCTGCTGTTGGGAGATTGGCTCCGGATGTCGTGCTTATGTCGGTCACCGGTGAGCTTATTGATGGAAGGGATGCACCTGATAAGGTGTTTGGCAAAATAGAAAGCGGCGACGGCGGAAGTGGTGTTACGCCTCCAGAGCTGCCGCCAGCAATCAGCGTACACTGGCCGACCCTTAGACAGTAGAAGCCAGAATCGCAGCACGTAGAGCCGCAGGGGTTTTGCGAGTCACTGCATGCCGCATTGTCTACTGAGGGCAAGTAGGTGCTAATCGTCTCAGTCTCAGTCGTAGTGAGCTGGCCGATAATCTCAACGTAGGTGGTGGTGCGGTATTGCCAGTAGCCGCTTGCCATTGCAGCGAGTTGATTTGCGAAGCCTTTTTTACGCAAGCTGATAGTTCCTGCGGGCTCTACTGCAAAACCAAAGAGACGTGACTCGCGCGTGGAGAGGCTCAGGATTAGAAGAAGGAATGTTGACGATGACCAAGGCTAAAGGAAGATGATAGAAGAAGGTGAGAGGTCACAAAGCAGCGGGACAGTGAACACGGGAGAGGATGCCGGTTCAGAGCCTGCTCAGCCTGTAGTAATAGGGTGGCTGTCTCAGCCTTGTGCTAATATCAAAAGTCTGCTCAAGGCTGAGGCTGCGCGTCAGCAGTCTAACGCCACAGAATTAGATCTATCCAACCATCTCTCCAAAGCTCTGATGTATTGGTGATGTATTGTTTGGTAGCCAAGAAGTACGTCGTCGGTCGCACGAGCTGATAGCGTATCTAGTCGGGTAGTGGAGCAACCGCTGCAGTCATCCCACTCGAGAAGAGGATCTGATAACAATACTTGTTGCAGACCTTAGTTGGAACGCTCTTTCACGCAGCAATAATCAATCAAGGCATAAGATGTAAATTGACTATAGACATGCAAGACAGCAACTCACAATGCGTAAAACTCCATTTGCTCGTCTGACGACCATGCTGGGGAACTGGGCACTCGTGGGATATCGTAGCGGTGGCGGAGTCGTTCCATGCAAAGGAGCTTTCCGTGAGTGCATCATAGCACGACCGTCTGAATGCAAAGAAAGAAAAGAACAGATCTGATCCATTGCTCCGTGTTCGCCGTGACACACATGCTGCAGTAGACCGCTGTCGTTGATCGTAGTGCAACTCGTAGCCATTCTCCTCCGTCCCCAATGGCTGTGCAACCTCCCCCTTCCGCGCTATTATTAATGTAATGGTTCATGGTATCTCGTGGGTGTGGTTTATTTTCCTTTCGTAACAACGACTGCGTACAGGTTAGCCATAGGAAGCTCCTCGTTATCGACGCAGGAAAGCTTACCAGGAACAATGATGACGACGAGCAGTAGGATGATACCCACAATGAGGCACATGCGCATCTTCATGTCCTTCCACCACATCTGCTTGCGCACACGGTTGGCGCCCCTTCGGAAGCCTTGGGCGGACACGGCGAGGTTATCGGTCTTGTCCTGTAGCGAGTCCAGACGGGCTCCTCGCTCTGAGACCTTGTTGATGTTGTCCCGCATGATGCCAACGGTGCTGTCGATTTCCTGGCATACGAGTCAGCATGAGGTCACACATGTTTTGACCTTCTTTAGGCCGCTCCTTTGCGCATGCATATACGTTCGCACACGCGCGCAAAGCCAGTGGGAAGGTGCGACGAGGGTGCGAAGAAGTCTAGTCACTATCGCATCGCTGACGCAAGCTCTCTGCCGACCACTGCGGCTCGACCATAGCTGCCTTGCGAGGATGCGACAAGCGACGTAGCGCTCGATCCGCACGCAGAAGAAGAAGAAGAACAACATACCGCTTGGAGCGCAGCTGTGCGGTGGTTGCCATTTTGGCCCTGGCCGCCCTGCTGGCCACCGGCGCCGCCGCTGGGGATGTAAGGATCATACGGGGGCTCTTCGCGGCTCGACATGGTTGGAGATGGGGTGTGCTGGAGATTCCGGGTAGCGTGCGAGTTGCGTAGGCTTCAAGAAGTGGTGGTGATGGATAGGTGTGGGTGGTGAGGTGGTGTCTGGAGGATGGAGATGGTGGTGTGGTTGCCCAGAGGAAGACCAAGAGTCCGCTCAGCCCGGATGGCGAACGAGCGCAATGTGTCAGCTCCGTTTGAGCAGTACGGCTGATGTTTGCGTGAAACCTGGCGCAACAACACGGAATTTTAATCTGTGAATCGCAATATGTCTCCGCAACGTGCACAGTCGAGTCAACAGCGGATTTGATGTTCCAACGGCTATGACGGTGTTCTATTCAAGTTGATGCGATCGCTGCCGTGCCTGCTTCCGGCCCCCATCTGGATCTGGGCAGCCCAGCCTGCGCCACTGCACGTGATGAACACCAGCCTCGCGATTACGACACTCTGGCTATGAGGCAACAGGTGCTGCACGATCCTCCATCGGTCCGTCTACAGGCTCGAAAACTTCACAGTATATATCCCGCCTGTTCCCAACCCGTCGTCCATGGCCTTTGGAGGTAAAGAGGGGTCTGTCGTCTCAGCCTCGCTGTTACGAGGCCAATCTTATTGCTTACCAGACTTCCGCAGCTGCGGCGTGGCAACACGGCGATACGACCTGCGACGAGAACAAAGACGGACCGGATTTTGACAAGACAATTACACTAAACGTAGTGTGTAGTTGGCGCTTCGTCATCACTGTCGTCGCCGCCCAGCCAGACGCCCGCATCGCTGCGTCGCTGCGTCGCTGCGCAACAAACAGAAGCGACAAGCGTCTTCGTTAACGAGACACATTATGCAACAGAAGAATCGTGCATTGTCGTCAATAGAGTGTGCCTGCGTCGCTAGCCTATCAGGGCGAGAGGCATCCCCAGGCCTCACGCAGGCCAGGCGCCGTTTGTACCTGGCAAGTGGGTCTGATCGCCGCCAAGACGCGTGTCCAATGTCTTGAGTCTCGGTGTCTGCTACCCATTCGCCGCTCAGGAGTTCGCGCAACGCTTGCTCCGCCGCCAGCTTCCTGTTTCCAGTTCCCTTCTCTTCGAACACACTCGCTGCACCGCTTCCTAATCGATAGACAACTCTAATCCCGTGTCGACCGCCGTGCCGTACGCGCCCCTGATCCCCGTCGCTCCTTTCATACCAGCCGTCAATCAACCCGACACTCTCTACGATACCCCACGTCAGAGCCAAGCCAGCCCGCTGGCCTGAAAGCTTGATCATTTCAACACTACTCCTTTCGCGACACTGCGCAGTGTGTCTCCAAGCCTGGCGCTGGACCCTGGCTGCAACTGCCGACTAGACCCGAGCCACCATGAAGCTCACCTCTGCCATTGGCGTTCTTGGCGCCTCGAACCTGTTGTTCGCAAGTGTGGGCGCGGTCGACCTGGATATTAGCTCCACAGGTGTGACTTTCTCAAATCCGATGCCAGCAAGCGCACGTACTGACATGTACAGACTCCATCAAGCAGACCGCCAAGGCACTCTCCGCAAACTTGCGCAAGTACTATACCGGCGACAATGTAGGCGACACACCAGGCAATCTCCCAGACCCATACTACTGGTGGGAGTGTGGCGCCATGTTCAATGCCTTTGTTGATTACTGGTACTACACGGGTGATGATCAGTACAACAAAATCACCACACAGGCTCTAGCAGCCCAGGTCGGACAAAACAACAACTACATGCCTGATAATCAGACCAAGACGCTCGGAAACGATGACCAAGGTTTCTGGGGCATGGCCGCCATGACGGCTGCAGAGAACAAATTTCCCGATCTGCCCGATGGCAAGCCTTCTTGGCTGTCTCTTGCACAGGCCGTCTTCAACACCCAATACAAGCGCTGGGACACGTCAACTTGCGGCGGTGGTTTGAGGTGGCAGATCTTCAGCTTCAATCAAGGTTACAACTACAAGAACACCATTTCCAACGGTTGTTTCTTCAACATCGCCTCTCGGCTTTACAAATATCTCGGCAACCAAACCTACGCTGACTGGGCTGAGAAGGCTTGGGAGTGGGAACTTTCGGTAGGACTCATGAGTCCGGATTACCACTACTACGACGGAACCGACGACACGCAGAACTGCTCAACCATCAACCATATCCAGTGGACGTACAATGCTGGTATTCACATGGCTGGTGCTGCTGCCATGTGGAACGCGTCACAGGACGAAAAATGGAAGACGCGTGTCCAGGGTGTTATTGACGGAGTCGACGTTTTCTTCAAGGACAAGATCATGTCTGAAGTTGCCTGCGAGAACAACGGCAAATGCGACGTGGACCAGCGTTCATTCAAGGCCTATCTTGCACGTTCCATGGCATACACAGCCAGTGTCGCACCTTGGACCCGCGAACAGATTGACCCTTACCTCCAGGCATCCGCTCAGGCCGCGGCGAAGCAGTGCAACGGAGGTGACCAACAGACTTCATGTGGGCTCAAGTGGACCACAAATGGAGTCAACGACGGCAGTTTCGGTGTTGGTGAGCAGATGGCCGCCATGGAAGTCGTACAGGCGCTGCTCTACACGTCTACCAGCGGCCCTGCGACTGCCGAGAAGGGCGGTATCTCCAAGAGCAACCCCGACGCTGGCAACGACGATAAGAGTGATGATCCTATCAAGTTTGATGTCGTGACCACTGGCGACAAGGCCGGTGCTAGCATCCTCACCATCCTCGTGCTGGTTTCCATCGTCGTCGGCGCCTGGTGGATGGTGTCGTAGATATTATACCCGTCTTCATTTTGTATATCAGAGCGTGCGCTTGGGACTGTACTAGATCTTTTGGATGTTCTTCATCGTCATTTTCTTTGGGCGCGATCAGGCTGCGGGCGCGTGTCATACTATAGCCAATGTTGACATAATTTACATGAGAACTGCAAAGTACGTATACTCTGAACTCGAAATTCGAAGGGGTATTCTTCATATCCCAATGCCCACGCATTCTATTTCAAGGTTCACGTTCTTACTCAGTGAGAGAACCTTGGAACCAGCCACGGCTCGGCTAATACCACGCTAATGGCCTGTGCGTACGAAAGCTGCGCCCGACTCCTCTTTCCTTCTTTGCCGCGACAAAGATCTCTGCACACGACACACACCACCCGCGCACTCGACTCAACGGCGCCCTACTCACGTTCTTGTCCCTCATCAACATTGCTGTCCCAATTCATACTTGAAACTAACTACCTGGTTGCGCGCATTCCCGATGGCCGCTCCCCCCGATCTAAACGCCATTCTGGCGGCGCTCGGTATGTCGCTCACATTCTCACCACGCTCGCGGCGCTTGTACTGACTATCCTCGTAGCAGCTGGACGCCCGTCGACTACCCCATCGCAGACGCCCCAGCAGCCTCCCCAGGCGCAACATCCCCCTCCCCAAGGCCTTCCCCCAGGCTTCCCAGGCGCAATGCCTACTGCCACCCCACCCGCCATGCCCGGATACAACTTCCCTCCTCCCACACACTCTGGCAGTCTTGATCTCAGCGCTATCAAGCCCGTAAGCTCCGGCTCAGTCAGCATCCAGGATGCGCTGGCCAAGGCGCGCGGCTTTGCGGCTCAGAAGGGCCTTGCACACGAAGCGCGTCCAGGTATACCTGAGTCTTGGTCTGGTTATGGTGTCCCAGCGCAAACTTACACAGCTCCAGCTTATCAAGAAGACCCGCGACTAAGCGGACGCCAGCCCTACCGACGTTCTCGGTCGCGCTCGCGATCCCCAGCGCGCCGAGAACCCGTGCGTGAAAGCTACAACCCATACCGCGATGAGCGTCGTGATGAGCGCCGAGGTGGCTATGGACGTGAACGTGATCGCTCTCCTCCTAGGCGTGACACCTTCTCTCCTTCGCAGCAGTACGGGCAAGCACGGTCGCCCCCTGCTAATGACAACTCTGAGGTGATTCTCATTGACTCTTCGTTGGTTGGCCTTGTCATTGGACGTCAAGGTGAGAGTCTCCGCCGCATTGAACAAGAATCTCAAACCCGCATTCAATTCATCAACGGCCCCGAGGCTGGACCTCAGCGCGAGTGTCGTATAACCGGTAGCCCGGGTGCTCGTATCAGTGCTAAGCGCGAGATCAACCGCATCATCGAAGAAAATGGCGGCAATCCTGCTCGTGAGACTGGCCGCAATGCCCGACCCGCCGCTAAGATGGTTGGCCAGCAACAGCCCGCTCTTCGTGAGGGTGAACAGTCGTCGCAAATTATGGTGCCTGATCGTACTGTTGGTCTCATCATCGGCCGTGGCGGTGAGACTATCCGTGATCTGCAAGAGCGCAGTGGCTGCCACGTCAACATTGTTGGTGAAAACAAGAGCGTGAATGGTCTGCGACCTGTGAACCTCATCGGAAGCCCCACTGCTGCCGCACATGCCAAGGAGCTCATCATGGAGATTGTCGACAGTGACACTAAGCAAATGGAAGGTGGCGGTGCCGCCGCGCCGCCGCAGCAAGCATTCACCAGGCGTGACAACTTTGATCCCTACGGCGGAGGTGCCGCTGGAGGCGCTGGAGCAGGCAAGATCAATGATAGCATTCACGTTCCCTCTGATGCAGTTGGCATGATTATTGGCAAAGGTAACATCGCTTCGAACATGTTGTGGTTGCCTTATTAACGATTCATAGGTGGTGAAACTATCAAGTCCATGCAATCAGAGACCGGCTGCAAGATCAATGTTTCGCAAGCTTCTGGCGCCGACATTGAGCGCGAGATCGGTCTTGTCGGAACCCGTCAAGCCATTGACGATGCTAAGCGAGCTATCTGGGAAAAGGTCGACCAAGTGGTAAGTTTGTTTGCTGTGTGACAGATGTGCACGGATGCTAATACGACGCAGCGAGAGAAGAACAACTCACGACGACGTGACAACGGAAACAACGACAATGGATACTCACATCAGCAGACACCTTCATACGGACAACCTGCCGCAGCCGCGCAGCCTCCTCAAGCAGCTGCACCCGATGCAGGTGGTGCTGCTTCTGCTGACCCCTATGCTGTCTATGGCGGCTACCAAAACTACCTTGCAATGTGGTATGCGTCCATCGCCCAGCAACAACAGGGCGGTCAAGGAGCCCAAGGACCTCCCGGCGCATAAGCGTCGCTTAGTTGCCGTGACCGATGCACATTTTGCTGAACTTCGCTGAATGCTGCCTGTTTGCATGACCCGATGCTTGGAAATTTGCTGCGCCTGGCATGATACCATCCGATGACCTGGACTATCTTCGAAATCTTCTTCTTGACTTGCGCGTAGCCGGCCTCGCCTTGTTGCTTGCATTACTATGCGCTGAGTGCTCCCTTTGTCGAACGAGCCTCTTCAGCCTGGGC